TCCCCTTAGGCTCAAATATTGCTTGTAGTTGTCATGTCTCTTTAGCCTTAGTGTCTTGGCTGTGGTAAGGGGGTGGCTTTGGCTCTTTGTTCTTATTTGGCCTCAGTCTAGGCAGTCCTTTCTGGACCTCAGAGTGCTCCTTCCTCTATTCCCACCCTCCATCTAGGGCAGTCAGACTTTACCTTTCTGTCTTGGTGATGGGTGGAAGTTTGATGGCTTAAAAAAAAAATGAGGTGGAAGGTAAACAAAGACTAGAAATATATGTTGCAACTAGGGGAGGGATTTTAAGTAAAATAAATTCTGTGTGGTTCTCTCCATTTGTAAATTTGGCTTTAGGTTTTTTTTAGAATCAATTCGTATTGGAAAACAAGATCAGTGCCATGATTTAGTGTCCCGAAGGTAAAACAAACTAATTGCACATGGGAAGCATCATTTGGAGTGGTATCAAGATCAGAGAGATATGTGTCCCTTGAGTCCTTATAAAGAGGACACTATTGATTGACTTCCTCAACAATACCTTTGCTATAAATAGGACTGTAGCTCCATAGGCCTGTCCTTAGAGTGCTCCTCAATGTGGGCCAGTTGCCTAATATTAAGAGCATTTCCACAATGGTCAGAAATTAATTTTTTTTGTCTGCAGACTGGCCATTTAGTTATGGAACACTTCTTCCAACAGTTTTTATCAGAAGAGGAAGGAGTGGAGTTGAAGCGGGTGGTGTATGTGGAATGCTCTCAGTCTTCTGAGTCTCTGCAAGATAACTAGAGCCTAGGATAAAGACTACTTGTCCAGAATATAGTTGGTGGATTGTGTGGTCTCAGGAGCTTCTCAACTGCACATCTACAAGAACTGAATTTTGGTTTGTTTTCTGTTAGTATTTCAACTACATTATTTTAAATGTCACAAATTTTTTAAACCCCTTACTCTCAGACCTTGACCTTTCCTTCTACTTCTAAACTTGCTGTATTCTTTCTTACTCTACAAAAGCAAAAACAAACAACCCAACTTACCTACATGTTAAAGAGAACTGCAATCCTTTCCTTGTCTAATGGTGATCTCTCCACCTGTTCTCTGGAGCCTGCCATCCCCTGCTTCCTTTTCTGTAACCTTTAAAAGAACTCTTCATCTTCCTGGCATCCTTTTTTCCTCCCTAGCTATCACCCTTTTGTCCTCCCTTGCTAGGCTAAGTTTGAAAAAGTAGCTTACATTTTCTATTTTTGCTTTATTTCCTATTCTTTCATTTAAAAATTATATATCAATTTATGTTAATATATGTAACATTATGTAGAAATAAAACAGAAGACACATTCTTACCACCAACTGTAAGAGTAATATTAAATACAGTGGAAAGCACTGAGGTGCTCTGCCTTGAATGCCTTTTCTTCCCTCTCATCAGCCGGGTGTGATGGTACACTGCTGTAATCTCAGTGACTGGGAGGCGGGAGGAGCCCAAGTTCAGAGCCAGCTCCAGAGACACTATCTCAAAAACAAAATACAAAACAAAAGGGCCAAGGGTGTGGCTCAAATGGTAGGGAGCTTGCCTAATGTGCACAGGCTCTGGATTCAGTCATTAGTACTGCAAAAAAGAAAAGGAACCATTACCCTAAATTTGATGGCTGTCATTCCATTTTCCCTTTCACTGTGTTCCTACAGATCCCTAAACAGTGTGCAGTGAGCTTTTCCACTTGAATAGTAGTCGAGTTTATAGGTGTGCCGGATGTCGGTCCTTGCAGCCTTTGAACAGCAGGCTTTGTGACCGACCGGCCCAGTGCATCTCCTGCCGCAAACCACACAAATGTTAGCATTTGTAAGTGTTTGTGGAACACTAATGTGGATTTTTATTTTCTATGTATTTTAAAACTTCACATCAGTAGCATACTATTTGTGTTGTTAGTTCTGCGTTTGTGAGATTCATCTGTATTAATGCAGGTAACTTTTATCATTTGTGTTTTATTGATGTGCAGTATTCGATTATATGAATAGACCACACGTTACCCATTTTCCTAAGAGTGGATGGTTATGTAGGTGGTCTATAATTTCTTGCTTACAAATAATGTTGCCATGATTATATATGTCTCCCTGTAGGTTAGTGATTCACTAGAGAAATAGCCTTCGTTGAAATCACTCAGTTATAGGTCTCTTCAGCTTCCCAGTACCTGGCAAACTGTTTTCCCAGAGGTTACACCTTTTATGTTTCCCAGCAGACTTAAACACCTTTAAGTGACTTCTGTTGTGTTCTGGAGGTGGATGGTGAGGATGGTTGCTCAAGTGGTATCTGTCTGATGGCAGGGAATTATGTTCTTTTACCTAGTGTGCCCTCTTAGTGGGTACAGCTTATTTTGTCTCCATTTTGGCATTTTATTAGCAGATCAGCTATGCATTTATAATTCTGCAATTAAGATCAGGGTTGCCAAATGAATATCAGTTTAGGAAAATTTATGAAGATACTACATTTTGTTTCTGATTTTTCTTTTGAAAATTCAGTAGTGTAGAAAAGTCAAACAAACTTTATGGAGTTACTTGTATACAACTGGGACTGAATTTATGGGCTGCCCTCTAACTTGCTGAAAAGCTGAAGATTGACAACCTCTTTCATACTGCTTTTAACTCCAACCTCTTTCTAGCTTGGCTTTTAACTCCAAGAGAACTGTGTTCACAAATTGATGCTCTTTTCCTTGGGGGTTGGTATAGAAGCATTAAATTGTACTAAAATATTCATATGTGAGTGCATTTAGCTGAAAGCAATTGATGTGCTATCCCCAAGAGGATGGAGGGAAATGCTGCGTGGATCTACAGTCCAGAAAGACCCTAAGCATGCTTCTTAGGGTAATTACATGGCCTGGGTCGTCAGAGTCCACCGTGAGCTTAAAGTGACAAGAAGAAGTTGCAGAACTTAGCAACTACGGTTTGGACATAAATTATTCCATGGTATAATTTAATTGCCAAAAATTAGGTGTTCTAATTATATCTCGTTTGTTTTCTTAGCTAATTTTTAACAGACTGATTTTGCTAAATGTATTCCAGAGGCTTGATGTCAATGACATTTTATCCATTATCGTTTTTGTTATATAAAATTAAATTTTTTTAAAGTTTTTAAAACTTTTTAAATTTTTAAGAATTCTTTTCTGCATATGTATTATAGCTGTTTAAAAGCGTGCCCCCGATATGATAAATTGACATGTCTTGTAGGAAGTCAGTGTAAATTAACAGCTGCCATGAAAATCAATGAGAGTAGACCGCTGTAGCTGTCATGGTAGGCCAGCTTGAAAGGCATAAAACTGCTAAATCCCTATTCTGAAAAACCAACCCTGCATTGTTTTGGGTTGTTTGTATAAAAACAAGTTATTTTGTCATGTTTTTTCAGGTATGATAAATATGCATACGAGTCTCAAAAGAACATGAGACTCTGTGCAAGGTGGAAATGTGTGTCCCACAGATAATGAGTCTTTTACATGTGTAATTCAATCCATGTATTCACTTCAGGACCAAAGATGTACAAAAGACATATGAACAACACAGTTTAACTCTTAAGTTAATATTAACCCAGCTTAGTCTGAGAGGGAACTTGGGAAATGGGTCAGAACAGGAGGTGGCTTTGTCCGGTTTCCTTGAAAGAAGCTGGATTACTTTAGAGGTAATGCATAGTAAAGTTATTATTTTCCACTGGCATTACCATTTTACACAGTAGTAGCTCTAACCCAGTTCTTCTAACTTTAGATGGTGCTTAAAGGAGGTTATGAGTAAAGTGGACTGAGCGTCACAACCCAGGTTGCTTTTTAAAAATATGTAAACTTTTTAAGGACAGTTTTAGATTTACAGGAAAACTGTGAAGATAATGCAGAGAATTCCTATAACTATTACACTCACTTCTCTGTTGTTATTATTGCATATGAACTATTTATTTTTGACCATTATCAAAACCATAAGATCCTAGAATTAAGTTTTTTGAAAATGGAAAATTCTGTGAAGGTTTCTGTCAAGTTGATAATTTTCTAATGGCTTTTTATTGTGGGGAACCATAGCATAAAATTGGCTGTTTTAACCTTGTTTAAATGTACAATTCAGTAACGTTAATTATATCCACAGTGTTGTGCAACAACCACCGCTATTTCTGCAACTTTTTGTCACCGCAGACAAAAACTCTGCACTTACCAGGCAATAAGTAACTCCTTATTTTCTGAACCACTGCTAATCACTGACCTACTGTTGTCTCGTCAGTTGGCCTGTTCTAGATATTTTATATAGGTGGAATCATGCAGTGCTTGTGTTTTTATGACAGGCCTATTTCACTTAGCTTAGTTTCAGATTTCATCCATATTATACTTTGTGTCAGAACTTCATTTCTTCTTATGGCTGAGTAATATTCCAGTTCATAGATATTTGGTTTATCCATTTGTCTGTTGACTGACACTGGAGTTGTTTACTTTGACCTTTTGGCCATCAAGAACAATGCTGTCATGAACATTCACATACAAGTATCTGTTTGTGTCTCTGTTGTAAGTTCTTCTAGGTATAAGCTCAGGAGTCCAATTGCTGGGTCATACAGGAATTCCATGTGTCACTTGTGGGAAATCTCTAGAATCTTTTCCTCTGGTTGCTTTGTTGCTCTAATGGGTTTCTCTCCATAGGAGTTATCTCAGTAATGTCAGTTAAACATCAAGAAAGACTGTGTAAGCAGTGGCCGAGCTCAGTAATTCTGGGCAAGAGGAAGCTTGGTAAGCAGGAAGAATTCTACTTGGGAGACCTGGGCTCTAGTGCCACCTGCTTCCTGTGGCTGAGATTTTTTTCCATTCACTAAAATAAAAAGATTACATAGATGATCACAGAGTTTCCCTACAGCTACAAAATTCCACATAGATTTATGTTATTTAGCATATTTTGACTTGGATCAATTAAGAAAGTCACCGATAAAAATTTTGATAGTCAAAATAAGCTTTGCTAAGGTGCAAAGCTTTGTAATAGACTTGATTACATGTGAAGTCTGTTATGCACATATCCAAATATGTCGGTGTGAGTCAACCATGTGAAACAGTGGCCAATATGCAGCACTTGTACTTGCCTTTCCATAATTTCAGGTGTACTTGAAGTATATTTTCCCAAAATGGAAACTGTGATCTAATTAGGTAAATGAAAACCATGTAATCTTAAATATTAAGATTACATTTTGGCGTGAAAATATTCTCTGAAGAAGACCTGTTTCCAGTGCTATTTATCCTATATAAATGAAATCTGCAATTAAAAAACAGTACTAAAAGAACCAGGGCTGAAGTTTCACTTTTTCTGATTTATACTTAAACTTTTGAGTTGTATATCACAATAAAATTAGTATTGTTTTTATAAAAATGTTATCTATGAGCGGGCCATGGTGGCTCATGTCATAATCCTAGCTACTTTGGGAGGCAGAGGTCAGGCTGGTTCAAGGACAGCTCAGGCAAAAAGTTCATGAGATCCCATCTCAACCAATAAAAAGCAAAGCTGGGCTTGGTGGTACATGCCTATCATCCCAGCCAAGCAGGAAGTATAAATAGAAGGATCGCAGTCCAGGCCAGCTCCAACATAAACATGAGACCCTGTCCCAAAAATAACTAAACCAGAAAGAGCTGAAAGTGTGGCTCGAGGGGCAGAGTGCCTGCTTAGCAAGCCATGAAGAGTCCACTGATGTGGAAAGTCTTCAGGGCGAGAGGAGGACTGCTGCTTTTTCTTCTAGTAGATCTTCTGGCTTTGCTTCTAGACATTTACTTTTAACAGTTATTTGGAAGCAGATGTTGACTTCATTGAAAGCCAGGTCAAAATCTTTAAGGAGTATTAGCTAGTTTCCAGTATAGGTTTCATAAATTGAAACAAGCATCATCAACAAAAAAGGACAAAAAATAACTTGAGAGTCTTGCCTCTTCAAAGTCAGTCTCCATGATGGCCTTGCAGCTGCTGATGTCAGCATTAGAGGCGTTCTGACTGACATGCGTGCAGTTGAAGAGGGCAGGTGAGCCCAAGGGTGTGGCTTTGGCCTTTATGATAAGGCTATTTCCAGTAACGTAGGATAAAAGCTAACTGACAGTATTTAAAATATATATACATATACATATGTGTGTACAAATAAGCTGGCCCATATCTGATCTTATTTTTTGAGGGTTTTTCTCTAAGATGAATGTATTTTCTGGAATTTAGTAGACTGTGGACTGAAGTTAAAGCACATTGCCAGTACTGTAGTGATACTGAAAAGTGGTCTCGTAGACAGAGTGCTGAGTTTAGAGTCAGAGAACTCGGGAGAAGAAGCCTGCCTTTTGCCAGGTGTGATGATGCATGTCCATGATCACAGCAACTCTGGTGGCAGAAGCAGGAAGATCAAAGTCTGAGGCTGGCCAAGCAAAAAATACAGGACGCTATATGAAAAGTAAAACTAAACAAAAACAAGCACAAAGGGCTGGGGTGTGTTCAAGGGACAGAGTGCCTGCCCAGCAAGCATGAGGGCCTGAGTTCAAGTCCCAGTACCACAAGAAAAAGCCTGATTTTTAAGAGGTAGAATGGAGTTGCCAAGGGGTCAGGAATTGGAGAGAGGTTGGTAAGAGGGCACAGAGTTTCAGTGCACAGGGTTAATAAAATTTGGGGAGTCTAATGTATAGAATGATAATGCTCTCTGAGGTTTGGAGCCTCTTCCAAAAAGAAGAGTCTTAAACACAATTTGGAAAATAGAGGAAATGGTTTGGCCTTTGAAATGAGCAGCAGGATGAAATACAGCGATATTAATGCACAGGAGGCTCACGATAATTAGAAAATATAGTTCAGTTAATCTACTCCTCGGAGTCATTCATTATTCGCAGTGATAGATTCCTAACTGGGCATTCGTCCTCCACATGCGTGGCCACTGCTGTCCAAGGCCATTCTCTAGTCCACAAGTAAAGGAGTCCGAGGAAGTACTTGACATTCTCTAAACTCTTGTCTTGTGCCAGGCAGCTTAGGGTATTGTTTCTGAACACACTCAGCTGGCTGTGTGCACTCCAGTTTAGTAAAGAACTACTTATATCATGTGCTTTAAATTTTTTTTCTTTGAAGAAATGCAGTTTTTCATGTCCCTTCCCCAACTCTCTCAGAAAGGGAGACCATTGTTAGAAAGGAAATTCAAAACCTAATTTTTTTTTTTAGAGTAGAAACAATATTGACTTGGTGCTTGTGCTTTGAATGCTCTAAATTTAAACACCCTGCTCCTGTCTGTATTTCATGTAAGCAGAAAGTAAATGTTTAATTCTTTCCATTCTGCATTGTTTAAAGTAAAGCAGATCTGAAGTTGTTGCAGGGAGAATCCTGTTCTAATTCTAGAAAAAAATGAGTGTATGAATTTGTATTATAAACTCATATAATTATCTTCTATCCATTTATCTTTTAATATGGCTAACTTGATGTGTCTTGGTTCCTGCATCTGGGGTGTATATTCCTATGCAAAAATTGTGTTAGAGATTTGTGAAGATATTCACCCAGCCTTACAGCAGCACTGTTTAGTAATTTGGACAGAAATTCTAACTTAGCTCACTAACTTTCTATCATCCTTTCTCATATGCATCTAAGGTTGTAACTATTTTCTTGTCATTTTAGCCACATCCTACACATTGTGATAGGCTCTGCCTTTTTTATTGCTTTCTTTCCAGTATTTTTAAATTTCCATTTTCATTTTTTGAGTCAGATTCTTTAGGTAGTTGTTTTGATAATTGTGTGTGTGTGTTCTTTTTTTTTTCTCTCTTTTGCAGTACTGGGGATAGAGCTGAGGGCTCCTCTCCCACTTGAGCCATGCCCCCAGCCCTTTGGTTTGTATTTTGTTTTTGAGATAGGGTCTCACCAATTTTGTCTGGATCGCAAAGGAACTCATGATCCTCCTGCCTCTGCCTGCTGTGTAGTTGGGATTACAGACGTGCACCACCATGCCCTCCCTGAGAACTAAAGGGTTTTGAGGATAGATATTTCAGGCCTTTCTAGAGTGTTAAGAAAAAATATAACTTACTAAAGAACAAATTTGATAGCTGGAGAATTGCTGTTCAGAGTGGAAAGTTACTGTGTTAAGCCATTGAAGCTTTCACCTGTTTTTGGTTTTCCCACAGTGGTCTACATTACTGCACCTGATGGCTTTTCACTGTCTATTTGTCAGTCTCTGCTGGCTGCGCTTGTCTCAGCTGCTGCCTCTGATGCTCGGCAGTGATGTCATGCTGTTGACTGTCATTTTTGGTTCCCTCTCCCTGAGTTTATAACCAGCCTTCTTCTGAGCTAATCCGAGACTTCCCTGCTGTGTCTCGATCTGAGGGCAGTGCTGTGGGAGAGCAGGTGAGAGGCTCCTCTTTAGTTTGTTCTGTGATTCAGGGCCGTATGTAGCTGTGTTGAGGTTTTAGTATTAAAATTAGTCGCCTGTTTCCTTTAGCTTAATTGACTACTAAAACATTTCAATTCAGTATGTTGCTTACACCCTGGCGATGTTTATGCTGAGTATCTCTGACTTAGACTGCTATGTGAAGCTAAAATCGCAGTGTGCAAACGGGAGCAGCTTTCCCCTGAGCCTCTCAAGCAGCTTCCTGGGAGAATTCCAGATCTCCTGCACAAGTTTTGGGTAGTGCAGGAGTGGTATCAGTGCACACTTTCTGAAGAAAGGAGCCAAATCCTGGCCATCTTCAGAGAGGGCTCCAACCCTGCTGAGCCCTCCCTCCGGTTGGTTAGATTTCTGTAAAAGTTGTAAGATTCATCCCGGTAGTCCTTACGTTTCTCAGACTACAGTTTTGTCCTCATGTTAGAACCATTAAAAAGCCTGCCTTGTCTGAAGGACTGAGGAACAAAGGGATAGAATGCAAAAGTAGGCTCCTGTTTCCCAGAGGATAAAGATAACCATCTCTGCTGGGCACGGTGGCTTACACCTGTAATTCCAGCTAGTTGGGAAGCAGAGATCAGGAGGATTGCAGTTCCAGGCCAGATCAGGCAAAAAGTTACTGAGACCCCCATCTTAACCAACAAGGCAGGTATGGTGGTTCAGATCTTTAATCTTGGCTAGCTGTGTATGTGTGGGGGTGGGCACAGATAGGATGATTGCAGTCCAAGGCCAGTCCTGGGTGAAAAATGACTGAAGCAAAAGGGCTGGAGGCATGTAGTAACAGGTACAAGGCCCTGAGTTTAAACTCCAGTACCTCTAAAAAAGAGAAAAGATACTACCCCTGAGCTGCTTCCTGCCACCAAAGCCCTTTTCACCTCCTGGTGGCAGGTATAGGAAGCAAGGGGGCACAAGAGACCTTGGCTGTCTCACACAGGTATCCCGTTTCCTTTCTTATGACCCTGCTTACCCTGTGTTGTTGGGAGCTTCTTGAGGACAGGGCATAGAGAAGTAGTCATCTTCATGTTACCTGTAAGGCGCAGCAACAGTCAGACCACTAACACCGTGTTGTTCCTGTGTGGTACACTTACAGAATTATGCTCTTTGCACCATGGGGTGGGGGGGTCTGGTTGCCGAACACTTGTACTTCACACGACTCCACACACTTCACGGGACTCCTGCATGGAAATTATAAAGTTCCCCTCTCTCCAGGCCCTGCGCTCCCATCTGTTAGAATATTATTGTAATTAAAATGTGGGTTAGTTATGACCAATATGAGTGGTCCCTTCGCCCAGAGGTCCTCAGCTGTACATGGTGGTCCTGAGATCACCTTAGGACCCTGCTGGCCATGCAGTGGAATGAGGGAATCACTATCTGAACAACCCATGGGACGTGCATCGTGTGTCTTGGGAAACCAGGTCTTCTGAGGGCTGAAGCAACAGTTACCCTATGAAGTAAGAATAATTATAACCCCAGTTTTCCAGAAGAGCAGTGAGGCACAGAGAGATTACATGACTGGTTATTAGCTGGCAGAGCCAAGCAGCGAGGCTCAGGAACCTGGGCTCTTCCCCATGGCAAGGCTGTCAGGCAGCGGCAGATAGCCATCTGCAAGGTCATTGCTGTGTCCATCACAGTCCTGAGCTCTTTGGATGAGTCAAGCAATAGTGTGG